TTTTCTCGAAGACTTCAGAAAAGAAGGAATACACTGCCTCCTGAGGCAGACCATCCAGCCTTTGGGTAGATCTAATTTTGGGAGGTTTTCCCCAACCTCCCAAGGCTAAATTTGCCTCTTGGCCACTTGGATCCATTCCTGCTGGTGCTGCCCTCCAGTGGCCAACAGGACAAATTTAGTCCCTCCTCCGTTACAACAGCCCTTCGAAGACACAGCTATCATGTGCCTCTGGATCTTCTCTTCGTCAGGCTAAACACATTCAGTACCTGGAACTAATCCTCATATGAGATGGATCCAAGGCCCTTCACCATCCCCATTCTTTATATACCTATACACACTCCTACTGTGGTCTTAACAGAGAGGGTCTCTTCCTTTCTTGTCCCAGGAAGCTCTACCTCTCTTAACACAACCCCAGAGCACATGAGCTTTTTTTGGCTAACATATCACACTGCTGACTCATTGAGTTTGCAGTATATTCATCCCCACTCCCTTCCCCCAAATCTTTTTTTAGACAGACTGTTATCTAACTCCATCCTATATTTGTGCAGCTGATTTATTTTATCTAAGTGAATGATTTTCTACTTATCCCTATTCAATTTCATCTTATCACAGTTAGCCTGTCAAGGAGATCATTTTGGAACCTGACCAGACTGTCATCCTAGTTTGGAGTCATTTACGAATCTCTTGTACATGCTATAGTATACATTTACCCAAGTTATTGATTTAAAAAAATCAATATTCCATGGGGCCAAGGACAGATTCCCAGAGCACTTCATTGGAGACTTCCTTCCAAATTGACTTTGAACCATTAGTGACTACTCCCAAGCTAGGAATTTCCGTATAGGTAGTAGCACTGTAATTTAGGTCTCTTAGGCTATATGTGGGTGATGGGAAAAGCACTGGCCTGAGAGTCAAAAGACATAGGCTCTAATCCTGGCTCTGCTACATAGCTGGGTGATGTTGGACAAATCACTTCACTTGACGTCTCTGGGCCCCCACTTTTATCATCTATAAAAGGAAGGGGTTGGGCTAAGTGACCAAGGTTCCTTCCGGCTCTAAAATTATAAGATTCAGGCTCTGCCATATTATGTGTTAATTTCACTTATTTGCTAATAACCACTGCTGACAAAAAAAAAAACAACAAACCATACCATCCTAATGAATCAAGCATGATCCCCCTTCTCCAAGGATCCTATAACCAGTGTGCTCCCTCTCCTAGAATTATTCTCAGGAGGAAGGCAAAATCCTTGAATACAGAACCAGGCTATGATCATGTCTATAAAACAATCAATTGAGTTTATGAAAAAATTATCAATTAAACCATATTTTTGACCTTCTAGTGATTGTCGATAGGATAGCTAAGTTTCTCATAATTCCACAGACTAGACTAGAATGTCATCATCCCATGGATATAGGTGTATGAAATACTCTTTGAACTTGAAATATTTTTATAAGCATAGCTGTCAAGGAATAGCTGACTATGTGAGAAGGATCAGCAACTGCCCAAAGTATAGCTTGGTATCTGACACATGTGCAGGCTCCATTTCTGCTATGTCAGGAAATTCTGTTGCAAAGGCACTCCTCCAGCATGAGATACCATCTACATCACCATTACTAACTGACTTTTTTTTCCATTTGCCTCATGCCACATCCATGACATCTATTAACTTCTTGCTCATCCCTCCCCATCCAGTTGCATGTGCTTGGAGTGTTAAGGTGGGATTTGCATTGTCCTGGGGAAACCTGTTGCAAAGTCTCTTTTCTCATTAAATCTCCCTTTCAACCATTACATATCTTTTGTATTCTCTGAAAGTTGAACAAAATTACAAGCTGTCTTCTCTTTGTTTGGGTATTTCTGCATGCTATACTTGGATTCATGGAAACTTTTTAATGCCAAAAAATACTGAGCTTTAGAAAGAAAAAAAGAAGTATGAGGTAATGCATAGAAGGTCAGCCCCAGAATCAGGAAGACCTGGCTTCCGTTCTTACTTCTGACGCATATTCATCGTGTGACCATGGATGGACAAATCACTGAGCCTCTTGGTGCCCATAAGCAACTCTCTAGTCTAAGACCAGAAGTCATAGAGGTGTTGCTTCATCTGTATCAGGGGAGAGAGTTTCTACACTGGGATTTCCCTACAAGAATAAAAACATAGATTCAAACTGAAAAGACAAAAGAAATGAAATAAACAGACTATGAGAATGCAGACAAAACACTGAGATGTTCTGTTATCTTGGCTATGACAACAGGGCAGGTTAGAGATGAATGTAAATGTGAGTGAAGCTCAGTTTGGTTACTATCATGTCACAGACCCATTCTTCTCCTGACGCTTTCCATTAGAAGTTGTCTACCACTACCCAAATACATTATTTCTCTCATTCACTTGAATATGATTTGATTCTACCTACTGAATGTTATAACTAAAGCTGAAGTTCAAAGAAATCAGAAGTGAAAGTGGACAAGCAGATAATAAGGAGGCTTATATATAATATTCTTGGGCTCTCTTGCTATAATCTAAAGGGATGTGTAGACATTGCTAGGGGGTGTGCCTCCTTGGCCATGTGTATGATTTGCTCACTCATCCTGAGTGTAATTTCTCCATAATCTGTCATTATAACAGCTAACTCATTGTCTGTCACCCTCATCATTGCTATCCATTTCCATCTGACGCAGCAATTTATTGAAGGTGTCCTGAAGAAGGGCTTGGCATAGAGCCCTTCCAAAAGCGAGGTCCTTGGTCACTGATAAACTATTAGTGGGATGAATAAAACTGAAAAGAGACAGACGGAAAGATTTGGATTTGGATTTGGACCTGTGTTCCAACCCCAGCTTTGCCACATTGCCTGTGTAATTTCTTTTACACATAAAACCTCACACTCTTGCTCTAGAGATTAAGAAAAAAATGGTTTTTTTTAATTTGGTACCTATTAAGCTAGACTAGGGGCATCTCCATTCTGGTCCTCAGTTTCCCCACTTGTAAAATGAGAGAGTTAGACTGATCTCCAAAACTCTACATGTATGATCCTACGGAAGTCAGTTGTAGATTTAGAGCAGTACAGGCAAAGAGGCCTTTGGAGATTAGTTAGTACAGATGACCTTGTATCGTCATCTTGTAGGACCTTTACCCTCAGAAAGCAGGCTGTCTTCTGATTCTAGGGATCTTGGCTTTATCCTTTGTAAAGTTAACGTCCCCCACCTATTTTAAGAAGGAGGAAACCAAGGCGTCCGTAAGAGAATTGCCTTCTCAAGGGTCACATATGAAGAAAATTAGTGTAAAGCCCCAACTCTGTGCTCCTCTAGGGTCTGTGTCCAACACAGGGAACTTGGCTCTGAGCTTCTGATGATGACCTTGAACTCAGCCCATCCCTGGTGTTCTGTGATTTGAGGAATGACAGGAGTGCCCCATCTGGAACAAGAGGGAGAAAGAATTTAATTGCCAAGAATCGTTCTGATCAGTGACTTTCAAATCTTTTTCAGTGGAGGGGCCCCTTTAGGACTAAGGACTCCGGGGAACTAAGCGCATACTGGCCTGAATTCAGAGAGTTCAAGCCCTAGCTTTGTTTCTCACTGACTATGGCAGCTTGGACAAGACTGTTTATTGCCTTGGGCCTCCATTAGGTTATCTGTAAAATGAGAAGATTGAATTAGATGAGTTCTTAAATCCCTTCCAGATTTAGAAGCCTATGAGCTGGGTTCCACAGGAAAACACCTCAGCTTGAAAAGGATTGGTGAATATTAACAGTTGAGTTGTTCATTCTGTGTTCTCAGGCCCCAGAGAGAAAGCTGTGAAGCCCCTGTAACAATTCCTTTGCCTTGCACCATGACCAGACCTGGAACTAGCGTGGGCTGTGTTTAGGATGTCCCAGATGCGAGCAGGGATGATGGGAGTGGGGTTGCACTATTCCTCCAGTTTGGAAGTGTCTGTGGAGACATTGCTTTTCAACCTGAGGGAGAAGCGTCCCTTCTTCTCCCCTCCCCACCGTCTCCTCCCCACTGCTCCCAAGTTCATCCCCTAAATTTCCAAGGCTGTCATGCCTCTCTCCCAGGATACCTTCCTACTGGGGCAGAGCACAGTGCACCCACCTCACTTCCCATCTACCAGAAGCCTCCTGGCCCAGGGATCAGGAAGGAAGGGGCTCTCTGCCAGCTGCACTACCTGCTTCTGTACCCTTTCCCTAGATTAAACAGCCTTAGCCCTCCCTGCCACTATCCACCTCTTTCTTTCCTTTCTGTGGGGCCCTCTAGAGCCTTCCTCTACTGTGGTACAGCAGGAAAAAAATGCAGCATTTAGAATTTGAGGAAGAGTGTTTGAGTCCTGGCTCATTGTCACTGTCATTTCTCTTGGTCTCAGTTTCCCCACTTTTAAAATGATGTAAAACTAGGTGATCCCCAAAGTGCCTTCCATTTCTAAAGGTATGACTGCATGATCCCTGATCTTTCCCTCTCATCTTGTTTTTATTTTAAGTGCTCACTGGAGCAGCTCTTTTTTTCAGAAGACACCGCATCTCTTGGCACCTCTCTAAGGCTGGCTGCCCATTCTCATGCCCACTGACCCAGAGGGCTAGGAGGAGCATGCTCCTTGCTTCCCATTGCTATATTCAATCCCTCCCTTTGCCACCATTACTCAGCAACAGCTTCTCCTCCTATGAAGTGCACTCCCTACTGTCCTGATCTTTGTTCCTATCATCTAGGGACATTCAGCTTATTTTCCCTTCTCTGAAAGGCAGCCTTTTAATTTTTTTCTTCACTCCAGCCTCTTCCCCTTTCAAACACCCTGGCCTCCTAGTTCCTTGACCTTTGCAAATGGCTCCACTCTATCTCAACCGAATACATGCCTTAGACACCAACCCATTCCTCTCCCCAACTCCAATGAATTTGCTCCAGGTGTGAGAATTCCTAGTTCCAGTCCTGATCCTGACATCCACATGGAGTCACTCAATAAATGATAGAGTTTGCCGAGAAAGTACAACACTAATCCATGAAAACTTCTTTTTAAGCCATGGACGAAGCCACACGAAGCTTTGCAGAAAGGGTTTTTGCTTCAGAAGTCAAGGATGAGGGAGGACGGCATGAGCTTTCACCGTTTGACGTGGATGAGGTCTGCCCAATTTCTCTGCGGGAGATGCAGGAGCACATATTCCACCTAGAGACCTTATCCATCACCACTGAAGGGAAGAGGTAAAATGGGCTCTACACACAGTAGGTGCTTAAGAAATATTTGATGAGTGGAGAGATGGATTTGTTGCCTTTATCAAATGACGCTGCATTTCATTGCATTCAGTTGAATGTAAGCTGCTAGAAGGCAGGCATTGTTTTTCAAATTAAATTTATATTCTGAATATCTTGCAGATCTCCTTGAATAAAACAGGCACCTAATAATTTATCTTATACTGTTCCTTTAGTTTTATACACATACATAGTAATGTAAGTAAATATTTCCTGAACTAGAGATTATGCATTTTGAGGGCAGGGACAGTATCTTCAAGTTCATTTTCTTCTTCCACAGAGCCTATCAATGACAACAAAAATAAAAATTTATTAGCACTTCTTATACGCAGAACACAGCACTGAAGCCAGGGGAAATGCTAAATTTAGCTTAGACATGGTCCCTGCTTTTGTGTAGTTTGCAGCCTAGGAAAGATAAAAGCCGAAGCAAAGGTAGCTGTCATATACAATTTTATACGGTAAGTGCATTCCAGAGGGGTACCGTATAAAGGAAAGAGTCATTGACAAATGGGACAACAGAGGAGGGCTTCCTAAAGAAGTTGTCATTTGAGGTGGGCTTTGAAGGATGGAAAAGGGTTTAGTAGGTAAAGAGGGAGATAGAGAATACTTGAGACATAGGAAGCGTCATAGACAAAGTTCAATTTAACTGAAGCATAGAATCTCTGGGAGGGAGTAAGATGAGATAATATTGAAAAAGGAAAGTGATGGATGATTGTGGATGGCCGTGAATGCAAGGAAGGGATGGAATCACTGAATGTATATTTTAAACAGAAGGGTGACATAATTAAATCTACTCATAAGGAAGATGATATTGGCAGAGGAGTGTGAAGGATAATTGGAGAGAGGAAAGAGTGGAGGCAGGAAGACCTACTAGGAGGCTAAGATAATAACTCAAGATGGTCAATAATCAATTATTAAGTACTTGCTATGTGCCAGGCTGGTGGTAAGGTCTGTACAAGGGTAGTAGCAGTGGGAATAGAGAGAAAGGAACGAATGGGGAGAATGTATTGGAGGTATAATTAACAAGACTTAACAACTGTTTAAAAGTGTGAAGTAACGAAGAGGGTAGAATAATGTCAAGACTATAAACATGGAAGACAGGGGAAATGATGTCCCGGCCAGATATAGTGAAGACAGCAGAAGGAGCCATTCTGAGGGCAAAGAGATTGTATGGACTGGGTGTAGAACCCAGTATAGCATCTGTACACCCTCTTCTTCCTCTCTGGAGACTTACCTACCTCCGACAGGCCTTCGTGATTTCAGGTCTTGGGGTTTTGCCCCAGGATGGGGATAGGGGAGTACAGCCACAGCCATGACGACACTGCTATGACTCAAACTTTGTCAGGGTCCTCTCTCTAGGGGTTACCCTCGTAGGGACAGGGAAGTGCATTCCTACCACTTGCCACTATAGCTCCTGAACCCCCCTTGTTGTGCTTCCATTTACACAAAATCAGCCATAACACCATTGCCTCTTAAACGTGAAACATTCACTAAACAAGAACTCAAAAGCAATAATGAGCAGAACATTTACTAACTAACTGATTGACTAATAGTTCTCTTACAAACCTGGGTCACATTCTCCCCCACTGCCTGTAGGAAAAGTGGGCACACAAAGAAACCTATGAGGCAGATCCTTGAGTAGGATGAGCCATGTGCCTGGGGGGATTCCTTGACTCTGGACTGCCAGCTTTGATGTTTTTGATCTCTTTAGAAAACAGTCTCCATCACATGCCATCTGTTGGATAAAATTATTTCGCTTCTATCTGCTCCCTTTCTGGGTCTCACAAATCTCCTTTTGAGCAAAACTGCTTCTCTGCTATTCTCAGTCTGCTGAAGCAATGTTCAGCTCTTTTAAGACATAGACATCATTGGCAGGGTACTGACAAAATGTTGCACTCTTTTAGTAAATGTATATTTACATACATGCACACATATATGTAAGTATGTATATATATATATATGTGTGTGTATATATGTATATGTATATGTGTGAGTACACACACACATAGATAGATAGATAGATATATCAGCAAAAGAGCTGCAAAGCCTGTCTTTCCCCTTCCCTATCTTTTAATCTATAGTGGGCAATATAGGTAACATAAGTATCCCTGAGAGGTTTTCCTCTTTCAGGCTATAAATGGTACTAGAGAGAAAGAAGCTCAAACAGCTCTTCACATAGCAATGGGATTCAGCTCTCTCAGATGGCTCAGGCTTTCTGCAGTCAATGGGCTCTCAGCAAAACAACGTCTCTTATCCAAACCACATAGCTCCCAGCAAAGAGACTGGAAAGCTTGTCTATCAGCTTCCGTCTTCTGTACCAGCTTCTCTCGTCTCCTTCTGCGTCTTTGGTCCCTGGCTTCTTTTGACTCATCCTGCACTCAGCTTTTTCTCATCTTCTGTCTTCATCTAATCATCTCTCATAGCCACCGATGCTTCAAGTCAGAGCTTTCTCGCGAGCAATGACCCATATCTAACTTATAATGTGAAATTCAAAAATTCTACCTGTCTTTCAGGCGTGACCCCAACAGTCCTTCTATAATCACCCCATATACCCCCACACAGTTATTTGATTTATAGTTTATTAGACACAATCTTCAAAACTCTGAAAGCAGTCATACATAAATGAGCTCACAATTCATTACACCTGTTTTTAACTAAGTCTTCAAACAGTTTTCTCAGTATGTATATCTGAGGGGCTCTCTTCTCTCAGGTCCTGAAAACAGTCTTTGTCTTTCCTAAAAGACTTTTGTCTGAAATGCTATGTTTCTTCTCAAACTGATTTTATTAATGTTACTTACACAGACGCCCATTTCTGCCCCTCTTATCCGTTAGCTGTCCATCTAACAAAAGGACAATATTCTACATCCTTTCCCCAACCCCTCGGGGAAATCTGCAGTTTTCTGAAAATTAAAATTAATCTACATATCAAATATTTTACATAATCAACATATTTTGCATTTGATGTTGTTGTTCAGCTTTTTTTCAGTTGTGTCCAACTCTTCATGACACCATTGGGATTTTCTTGGCAAAGACGCTGGAGTGGCTTGCCATTTCCTTCTCCAGCTCATTTTACAGATGAGAAAACTGAGGCAAACAAGGTTAAGTGATTTGCCCAGGGTCACATAGCTAGTAAGTGTCTGAATCCAGACTTGAACTCATGAAGATGAATCTTCCTGATTCCAAGCCCAGTACTCTATCCACTGTGTATATTAGATTAAAACAAAATAAAATTTTCTCATTCAAGACCATAAATTAGTTAGAAAAAAAGAATCCTCATTCGTAACAACCAATATATATATACATATACACAATTTTATCAGTAAAAGTAAATATTCTTATTCACAAGGATGAATATGTGCAATTATATTTTATAAAAGCAATCAAATTTATAATTCATGTTATAATTCTGTGTATGCAAATATACCTATAACACATTATCAAAATGTATAAACAATATATGGTGCAGATTACATAATAACTTATATATCAACATTTTATGAACAGTTAAAATATGTACTTCAATAGCAATAATGAATGGCATAAAACACAGAGCAAAATATAGTTGCACACGATACTTATATTCTATCACATAACTGTTTGGGTCTATGAACAACCATCTCTCCTTTTTTATTTCATGCATATAAGGCTAATCACTGGCTTAATACTGCTGACATTCTCAGCCTGAGTTTCTATCTAGATTGTTGATTATCAGGGTCAGTCAAAGGTGGCTTTGAACTCTAAAATAGCTTAGGCTGACTATCACAGTCCCTTTTGAATACAGAACATTCCCAGCTTACAACTGGTATATTAGGGTAAAATGGAGTTGCTGCTGGATTTGATCCTACCTCATCAGCTGAAGTGGTATTCTCCTGTGACCAAGGTATATTTAATTGAGTTAGATGATCCTCTAGAGATGGAGGCTAACAATACACGATCTCATCTTTATCATGAGTATTATAATTTTTCTGCATTACTGTCTGGCTCTGTCCTACTTTCTTCAATTTGCAGGCTCTTTTCCTCTGAATCCTATATGTAGCTAGTTTGTAAATATTTGTTTGCATATAGTCTCTCCCATTAGACTGTGAGCTCCTCAAGGGCAAGGATTATCTTTTGCCTTTATGTGTATTCCCAGCGATTAGCACAATGCTAGGCACATAGTAAGTGCTTAATTCTTGTGGACTGATTAATTAGTTGAAGCCCATTGGATTAAATGAGATCATAAAGGGAAAGAAACAAGAAGAGGGTCAAGGACAAAGCCTAAGGGATTGGGAAGAAGATGAAGAGCTAGCTAAAGAGAAAGAGGAGTAGTTAGAGAACTAATGACTGCCAAACCAACTTCATTCCCACGTTACAAATTTTATGATTTTTTTGCCTCAAAACGAATATTTGTAGAGAAACCCAGACTTGCCACAGTGGAGCTTCTGATGAAAGGAAAGAAAGCTGAGACCCTTTTTTCTTCTAAGAATAGGAAGAAGCGATTCCAGGGCCGGAAGACGGTCAATTTGTCTGTTCCGCAGAGTGAAACATCATCAACCAAACTGTCTCGCATCGATGAGTACATTTCCTCATGTCCTGTCTATCAAACTGTGCCAGACTTCCAGAGAGTACAGATCACAGGAGACTATGCCTCAGGGGTGAGTTGATAGCCTTTCCTCATGGACTCCTTGGCTCTTCTCTCCCAGCTCCCCTCTCCTTCCTGTCCCTACTACTTTGGCTCCCTTTCTGTCCTGATGCTTTATTTCTGGGTCATGATATTATGATATTGTTTAGAGCTGAGCAGTGCCTTGTGCTTTTCAAAGCACTTCACATACCGTCACTCATTTGCCTGGAGAACACCGGGTATGTGCAGGCATACAGAATGGACTGACAGAAGCCTATAGACAGATATAAGTAAAAGATATAAAGATAAAATATAGACTATATACAGATATAAAGTAAAAGCATTCCCCTGGGAATAGCAAGTGACCTGACTCCACCAAGGAGCCATGATGCAAGAATGTGGGCGAAGGGAGTGGGCAGCATAAGGATGTGGGACCAGAGGTAGGTTGAAACAACTGACTGCAGGTGAGTGAATCCCCACCCAGTCATGACTCCCCACCAACGAAAGCTACACGGTTTCTTGGATCTTTTCCAAAATAAAAATCAAATGAGATAATATTTGTAAAGTGCTCAGCACAGTGCCTGACACATAGTAGCCACTTCATAGATGTGTATTCTCTTTCTCTTCTTTCCCTTTTCCCTACCAAGAGGTAGTGTCTTGGAGTCTCTCTTGTGGGACTTACAGCCCAAGGTCCAAGTCCTCTCCTTGAGATCTCCCTCCCCACTCCACTGAACTTGCTTGTTCTGAGTACGTTCTGTAGTGCTTACTCCGAGCACTAAGATTGCTAGTTATCCTTCTGAATATGGGTCATTTTCTAGAACCATCCAAAGAAAACAGAGGCATGGAATGAGACAAAGACAGAAAGAAGGATGGGGACAGAGAGAGAATAGAAGCTGCTAGTCCTTGACAGAAAGTCCTCCCTTGTTTCACTGGAGATACTTAAAGTGTTTTGTTACTTGGAATAGGTTCTAATATGATGTGAGGGCTGGTGAATTCTTGGCTTTAGGAACCTGACTTACTTCTGCAGCCTAGAACAGTTGCCCAACTAATAAATCTCTGCCACTTGGACATAGAGGATCACTGTCAGCAAATTGGTGAAACTGAAGTTCAGCTGCCAGTGTCCTCTCTAAATATAGTCTTCATGACCAGTCCAGATCCTCTTCTCATGTAACTTGGCTATTAGGCTCAGGGGAGCAGATTCAAAAGACAATCAATCAGGAGTCCTAGTGATGAAGCACACTCCACTGTATGGCTCGTCTTACATAGCTCTTAATTGTTTGTTCCTGGGTGAGAGGAGGGTTGAAGGGAAAGGATGCTCTTGGTGTGTTTATATGAGATGATTAATTGGAATTAAGTTGTTACGGGTAGATGGGTATTAGGGAAGCAGCAATCCTGCAACTCAAGATATCCAGCTAATTGGAAAATTAAATGAAAGGCATCCTGTGTGACCTTGGGCAAACCATGTAACTTTCCAGCCTCAGTTAGCTTATTTGTAAAATGAAGATGTTAGACCGGATGACCAAAATCTTTTTCAGTTTCAAAGCTATGATCCTACAATCCTATAAACTTAGAAGAAGGTGTCTCCAACAAGAGAGAATAGGAATAACCAGAGAAGAAGGCAGGATTGAGAAAGTGTGAGAATGGGTTAGTAGGAAAATGAGAAGTAGGAGGGAATCTATGTCTCAGAGACTTAATGAACCGGATCTGGGCTGGAGAATCAGACCAGTATGGTCAAAAGGGCACACTGCACGTGGAGAATAGGAATGTAGAGTGTAAGCTGCCTGAAGTCAGGGACTTTCTCACTACAGTGCCTAGCACAGTACAGCGCATATAGCAAGTACTTAATAAATGCTTGTCAGTTGATTGAGCTTCTGTTCTATTTGAACCAGTGCAGGAGATTAAAGAATTAAAACAGAGGGACTTGTCTTGGTCTGTAATCATAAAGGCGAGGTGGAAGAGGGGGAGAGAGGGAGAGATAGAGTAAAGACTGAGACAGACACAGGACAGAGTGACAGAAAGAAAGGAGAGAGAGAGAAAGAGAGAGATGAGGAGAGACAAACAGAGGAAAAGGCAAAGGAAGGAAGTTGGGGGCAGAAGGGAAGGGGGAAAAAAGAGGGGGGGAAGAAGAGAAAACAGCTAGGGTGGACTGAGGGCTGAAGCAGGGTGGAGCTAAAAGAAGAGGGGATTTTCTTGCATAGTCAGGTAGCCAAAGGTCTATCAGGGATGGGGAACCTGTGGCCTCCAGGCCATATGTGGCCCTCAAGTGTGGCCCTTTCCCTGAATCCAAATGGTCTTCGAGTGCGGCCCTTTGAAGCCAAATGTTTGGATTCTGTCAAAGGGTCGAGCTTGACCTAGAGAGCTACATGTAGCCTCAAGGCCGCAGGTTTCCCCACACCTGGTCCAAACCAAGGATGTGCCAGACTGGGATGGCTGAATAGGACAAAGGGATCCAGAACTGAGAGGGCACTCCATGTGGCAATCCCTACGCTGAACAAAGCGGGAAAGAGTTCTCCTTCCTGGCCTTTCTGGATTGTTCTAGTTCTCATTGTCTCTCCCTCTCTGTGACCAAGGAGCTTGGGCGAGTTCTCCAAATCTGGCCCAAAAGCATCTTGTTGATCGCTCTGTTGCATTTGAGGAAGGGTCCAAGTGTGAGAATTAAAAGACGGAGGGACCGTTCCCAAACCTGTATTCCCCAAGAAGAGGCCTTACCCATGCCTGGAGGTGGTGGCAGCACAAACCTTTGCCCCAATCCTCTTTCTTCAAGGCAGATGAGTCTGAGCTAGCATATTAAGAAGAATGAAACTGACTTGGATAAAGGACTGAACTTCTGGTCACCTGCTGGCAACAAGCTTGCTTTGACCCCTAGAGAAATACCTTAGGGCTGAACTGTTGGACTTTAATAATTAAACATTCAATAATTTCTGCTTAGGACCAGAGAATCACTTTTATCTGCAGAATAATGGGATTCAGTGGGGCTCCCCCTGGGAAATTGGTCAATCTAATAAAGAATTCATTTTTATAGCCTTCTAAAGTTTGCAAATTAATTTTAATACATGAGTTCATTTAGTCATCGACACCCTATGAGAGAAGTGCTGTTATCACTCCCATTTTCCAGATAAGAAAACATAGAGTGTTTAAAGGACTTACCCAGGTTCATATGGCTAATAAAAATCAGAGGCTGGGTTTGAACCCAGGCCTTCTTAGATTCCACATCCAAAGCTCTTTCTATTACACGAGGCTGTTACTAAGAAAGCCCTGACATTTTTGGCCCAGCAATATGGCTTCTGTACCATTCATTACCTTTTATAGTTATAGATCGAGAGCGGTGAAAAAAAAAATCTGTATGATTTCTCATCACCATGTCCTGATCTTAACCAGAGCCGGCCCCTTTCAAACATGAAGTACTGCCAGCTTCTGTGATGTGATTTAAAGGACTCATTGGGTCTTTACCTGTTCCCGAATATCTCTTCCTATAGCCTGATGTTCATAATCCTGAAATTCATACTACTAGAGCTACTCCTTTAAGTTCAGATTTCACCTCCAGAAGGTCATAATTAAAATGCACATACGTTGTCTGGGGAGAGAGAGGACATTGACATCATGATTGTCATGATCATCATCGATTTTTATCTAGCATTTTGAGGTCTGCAAGTTGCTTTGCATATATTATCTCATTTGAGTTTCCCAATAACCCAAAAGGTAGGTCCTATGGACATTATTATCCTCATTTTACTGATGACAAAACTGAGTTTCAGTGATTCTCCCATGGTCTCACAGCTAGTAAATGACAGGAGTTGAATTGGAACCCAGGTCTTCCTGACTCCAGGTTCAGCGCTCCAGCTGGCTATACTAGATTACATTAATATGGTGTCATTGCTAGCAAAGCATGGACTGTTTTCTCAGATTATCTAGGTGTCACTTTGCACAGAAAAGGACACAGGACATTGACACAATAATAACGAGAGCTAGCATTTGTAGAGCACTTTAAGTTTTCCAAAGCACTTTACAAATATTAATTCATTTTATCCTCCCAACAACCCTAGAAAGTAAGTGTTACTGTTAACCCCCATTTTATGGAGGAGAAAGCGGAGGCAGGCAGAAGTTAAATGACTTGCCCAGAGTCACACAGCTAGTAAGTATCTGAGGCTGAATTTAACTCAAATCTTCCTGACTTAGATCCAATACTATGCACTCTGGAGGAAAGGAGGTGATTGGGAAAGGTATGGAGCTTGCCTGAGTTAAGCAAGCCCAGGTGGACTATGGCATTGGGAGACAAGATGGAGGGTGGAGAGTAGCCAGGTCAGCATGAGAACCAAACCCTTGAGAGAGAATCAACCAAACCCTTGAGAGAGAATCAAAGTAGGAAAACAAGAAGGTTGGACAGCAAACGTTACCTACGTCCAGGGGCATACTGGAACTGGTTCTTCGGAGAGAGCTGTCAAATTTTCAGTGTGAGCATTTCCACCTTGGAAGTCAGCATATGATACAGATCAGGGATTGATTTATTGTTTTATTGATTTCTAGACTTAAGAAATTGATGGAGAAAATGTTAATAATGGAGATTAAACTAAAAAGTATGCTGTACATTTATTTCCACTCCTCATCCACTTCCCTAAAGTCAGTTATTAAACATTTACTAGCACACCACTCTGGGCTACTTCCTGATTTGGATGGGGCTTTGACTGTCATACTAAGAAGCTTTGTTTTTAGGTTACGGTAGAAGATTTTGAAGAAGTCTGCCAAGGTCTATACCAGGCACTATGTATACGGGAAAAATACATGCAGCAGTCATTTCAGAGGTTCCCTAAGACTCCTTCCAAGTATCTCAGGAACATTGAAGGGATTCCTTGGAAAGCAGATGAAAGCTTATACCCAGGTAACTGGTTCTCTTAAATGTCATTAGGTCATGGATTTGTGATGTGGTCAGTGTAGGAACTCCGCCTCTCCACCAGCAGATTGAAAACCATCCATAACTTCATATATTTAGCATTAAGAGACTCGCTTGAAGCTCAGAGAGGTTTGGTCACTTGACCATGGTATCACATAGCTAGTAAATGTCAAAGGCAGGATTTGAACCCACATCTTCCTCACCCCAAGTCCAGAACTCTACCTCCTATGCTATACTGTCACTTTTTATTCCAATGAGTACAGAAAGAAAAAGCCACCAGTTTTCGCTGATGCTAATCATAAATTCTTATTGAATCACAGTATTGGATATCAGGATCGAAACTAGATCTTAAATTGTGAGCCATACTCCTTATAGGAACTCTATAAACTACTCAGATCTGGAAAGGTTGCTAGAAAAGCTCTCTGGCTAGGAACCAGTCACCCAGGCTCATGGGACCTCCCCCCAAATCAGATGTCTTCTTATTCCATCTGTCTCCTGGATCTCCCATGGTAGTTGTTGTAGCTACCACCATCTTGTCTTTGAACTTCCTGTCCTCCATGCTTGGAATCCAGACAGGCAAAAAGCATTTTTTTTTTTTAGCATTTACTGCGTGTCAGGCATGGTGCTAAGCACTTGGGATACAAATACAAGCAAAAAGAAAATCAGTGGGGGAAAGGTAACCACTTGGGAATACGGTGTCAAAGTCCAGAGATTCAGATACCGAGCCAAGGAGGGGATTCTCTCTCCTCACCATTTAGAATCTCCAGGTTTTTGTTTTTTTAAAAGCCTCTACTCCAGTGCCATCTTCTGCATGAAACATTTCCTGATTCCCAAAACTGCTAATGTCCTCCCCTGCTATTTCTCTTTGAGGTTTGTATCCCCAGTGTCCAACACAGTGCCTGGAACACAGTAGACACTTAATAAATGTTCGTTGCTTGACTGATTCTCTTCTTGGTTACTGCGGCTGAGGTTCACTGCATTGGGAGAATTATCAGGAGCAACTGGCTCATATAATCCCCCCATAGTCACATTTTCTGCCCCTCAATTTTAGTAGAAAAACATCTGCTAAAAGAGTAGGAAGGGATGTTTATAGATATCATAACTTGAGAAGGTTGTGATAAAAATTTACCTTTTAACAAAAACCCTAGTAATTTAAACCAATGTGGAGGAAGACCGGTCAGAAAAAGTTTTTAAAAATCTGAATTACATAATTTTGAGAAGGCAATTTTATTAATTTCAAGTATATACAATAAATTCATAGGATAACAAAAAGCCAGTCCTTTGTGAAATGTCCTGATGAATAGATAATGATATTGTACTATCAATGATTATACGCAAATGGGTTTTCCTTAAGTGCTTGAAAAAAAAAAGAAAAGTTTGTTCTCCCAGGTAGGTAAAATACAATCTTTTTTTTTTCATCCTTTTTCCACACCTAGTTAAATGTCATCTTCACCCAGCTCTGATCTGAATACTCCCAAATTCTGAGTTAATGAGGTCCATATTAAGGAGGTTTTAGGTATTTCATTTTATTACATGGTCATTAATGCTGATGGTATATTTTTATGTGTGTTTTATTGGGAAAGTGTTTACTCCTCCCCCGAAGAAAGGCGAAGACCCTTTCCGAAAAGATGATCTCCCTGAAAACCTGGGTTATCATTTGAAGATGAAGGATGGTGTCGTTTATTGCTATGCTAATGAAGCTGCTGCCAGCAGTGAGGAGCCCGTACCTCTTCCCTACCCAAATCTAGACACTTTCTTGGATGATATGAATTTTTTACTTGCTTTAATTGCTCAAGGACCTGTGTAAGTGTCATTCACCTAGACTTCTACTGATTACAAACATCTTCCCAACTCCTCTCTGTATTCCCAGCACTTAGCACAGTGCCTAGCCCATAAATACATTCTAGTTAACTGACTATCTCATCAGAGCTGTAACTAGGAATCTTTGCCCTTGGGAAGTGCCACAAATTGTATCCAGGACCATCAGCACAAGCTGCCCTGCACTGAGGGACAAAGGCAAGGAAGTACACTGCCCTGTGGTAGGAAACCTTCTCCGTTGCTGAGGAGACAACCAAGGGGCTGGGGACAGGTGGCTCAGGGAAAGAGTTCATTCCAGTATCTGGTAACTTCCTGTCTTATATAATATTCTTACTAATGAGATGCTAGGAAGTCAGAGTGGTGCCATGGGTAGAGAGCCTGATTCTATGTCAGGAAGACCTGGGTTCAAGTCCTGCTTCTGACATGGGGTGACCATGTGACCTGGGCAGTTCATCTAACCTCTCAGTATTCCCAAGTAACTCTCAGACTCTTAAGTTTCAGAGCAATTGCAGATCTGTATTGGTAGAGAGAGGCCAGCTAGGTGGCACAGTAGATAGAGCACAGGATCCGGAGTCAAGAAGACCTGAATTCAAATCCAGTCTCAAACACTTACTAGCTGTGTGACCCTGGGTAAGTCACTTCACCCTGTTTGCCTCAATTTCCTCATATGTAAAATGAGCTAGAGAAGGAAATGGCAGACCACGCCAGTGTCTTTGCCAAGAAAACCCTAAATGAGATCGCAGAGAGTTGAGCATGACTGAAAACAACTGAACAACAGCTACCAATGTTGATTGGTAGGGGGAGTCCCTGATGGGGAGTGACCTATACCAGAGAATTCATAGGTCCAAACCAAAGAACAAAATAAAATGAGATTCCAAGCTCCATTGTTTTTACCCTGCTAAAGTGTCCACTCTATCAGTGTCCTTGAAATATGTCATCCTGGGACAAAGGCACAGTTGCCCCATCCTAGTTATGGTTCTGTGTCACATTAGTATGCCTTGCTTAGCTGAGAACTAAATCCTTAACCAATAGGACTATAGATGGAAGGTACCTTAGAGCTCCCCTGGTCCAACTCCTTTATCTGATCAATGAAAACCGAGGGCAAGAGTGGTTATATGACTTGCCCAGGGTCACAAAGGCAGCAAGCTTTATGTCACAGATAACTTGAAAGCAGCTCACTGTACCATGTCGCTTCTCAAAAAGAAGTGAACCATCAGACCATGGCCCAAATCCATGACCTTGGCGCCATTAGCATCATGCTCCAACCAAGCTCATACCTCCACTGAAGGAGACTACAGCAAACATGGAAATGTCTTTAAAAATGTTTTTTTCTCACTAATTCATGATTTAGGTCTTGAAGATTTTAAATAATATCTGGATATGCTGGAATTTTAAAAATTTAGTTAATAATAATGTTGTCATTTTGGTTTTTGTTAGCAAAACCTATGCCCACCGACGCCTGAAGTTCCTGTCGTCCAAGTTTCAGGTCCATGAGATGCTCAATGAGATGGATGAGTTAAAGGAACTGAAAAACAACCCCCATCGGGACTTCTACAACTGCAGGAAGGTAAAGTAGGGAGGGGTCCCTGGACCTGACTCCAGACGCAAGAGACTGAGCCCCTGGCCCCTCCAGCTCTCCAAAAAAACCAAGAATTCCTGGTATTAGAACTGAAGTGAGAGGCCAGGTAGGTGGCAACTCGTTGGATAGAGCACCGGCCCTAGAGTCAGGAGGACCTGAGTTCAAATGCGGCCTCAGACACTTACTAGCTGTGTGACCCTGGGCAAGTCACTTAACCTCAACTGCCTCAAAAAAAAAGGATTAAACAGATTTCAGTGGGTCCATGCTTAGGGAAAAAAAAAATATCAGCAATAGACTAGAAGGTTAAAGATGTCATTCTCAATCTTAATCTCAGTGATCATTGAGGCATGCCTTTTTTTTCTTTTTTTTTTTCTTTTTGGTGAGGCAACCGAAGTTAAGTGACTTGCCCAGGGTCACACAGCTGGTTAAGTGTCAAGTGTCTGAGGCTGGATTTGAACTCAGGCCCTGCTGACTCCAAAGCAGGAGCTATATCCACATGCCACCTAGCTGCCTCCCACCTGGCTGCCCTGAGGCATGCCATCTTTATTAACTAGAAATGTTTCCAAGGTTTTATAATAGGACAATTTAGAGCAGTGGTATCAATCTCAAATAGAAACCAGAGAAACCACTGGTCCCTACATAAGGATCCCTGCAGGCCATATGTTGACTTAGTTCTGAAGTGTGATATTGTCTATGTTCACTTGTTTTTTTACTTATTTTTGTCAACGATTTCTCAATTACATTTTAATCTGGCTCAGGCTGTGATGGGGGTGTTGTGGACCACATTTGACACTTCTGATTTAGAGGCCTTCTAGGAAGTGGGAGCAGGAAACAGAATTAAGGAGGAAAAGAAACACAAAGACAAGAAAAAATGAAGTGGAAGTGAACGTAAATCATAGATTTGGAGGTGGAAGGGACCTTAGAGGTCATCTAGAATAGGAGTACCCATTGCGCCCATTGGCATTTGGTAAACCTTTCTATACTCCCCAATGAATATTTTTGTTGTTGTTTAGTCATTTTAGTCACATCCAACTCTTGGGCTGTTTTCTTGTTTTTTGTTTTTGGCAAAGATATTAGAGTGGTTTGCCATTTTCATCTCCAGCTCATTTTATAGATGAGGCAGCTGAAGCAAACAGGGTTAATGACTTGCCCAGGGTCACACAGCTAGGATCTGAGAACAGATTTGAACTCAGGAAGATGAGTTTTCCTGGCTCCTGCAGGGGCACTGTATCTACTATACCACCTAGTTGCCCTTCTTCATTTGTAAAATGGGGATAATTAATAGTAGCTATCTCATTATTGTGTGGATCAAATGAAATAAAGTACTATATAAATGATAATTATTATTGAAAAGAAGATTTGCCCAGAATATGATGGTTATTTTTTTCTTCTCTTAATATCTAGGTAGACACTCATATCCATGCTGCTGCCTGTATGAACCAGAAACATCTGCTGCGCTTCATTAAGAAATCTTACCATTTAGATGCTGACCGAGTGGTCTATAGCACCAAGGAGAAAAATCTGACCTTAAAGGAACTTTTCACTAAACTAAACATGCATCCCTATGACCTGACAGTTGATTCTCTGGATGTTCACGCTGTAGGTCGGAAGGGTAACCCCACCTTGGCATGAACACATTTCTCCCCAAATCCATCTTCCCTAGGATCCCCTTGATCCAAGTCTATCCTTTGTCCGGGGAGTTTGGGAGCACACCTCACTATTCTGGGGACTCCCAGCTCACATGCTCTGGGTTTCTTGGTAGAAGCCCATTGACTCAATCTTCCCCCACCACCACACCCCTTAGAAATGAACCCCTATGGGCTTGGTTGTAACCTCTTTCCTAAAGTCACTCCTCTTTCCTAATGCAGGGGCGTCAGACCTTCCAGCGTTTTGACAAGTTCAATGATAAATACAATCCTGTAGGGGCCAGTGAACTAAGGGATCTTTACCTGAAGACAGACAATCATATTAATGGAGAATATTTTGCTACCATCATCAAGGTGAGAAAGAGGCAACCAGATCTATACAGAGATGATGCCTGGCATGGTCCATCCATATGGCCAAAGCCTAGTGATGAGGAAGAATGCAGGAGAGGATAACGTCAGCAACTCTTACTAAAAATTATGATAATAATAGCTAGCACCTACAGAGCATTTTAATAACCGTTAATAATAATAATAATGATAGTACCTTGCATTTATATAACACTCAATAGTTTACAATGCACTGCTATGTATATTCTCTCCCTCTGATCCACCCAAAAGGTAAGTAGGGCACAAATCATCATCTCACTTTTTTGGATAAAGAAACTGGTGCTCAGAGCAGTTGCCCAAAGTCATGCCCAAAGCCACACAGCTAATAAATGGCACAGGAGAGGCACTTCTCTTCCTCTAAGTCTCTACCTCTTGTCGTGATGCCATTCTGGCTCTCTCAGAAGGGAGAAGCCCTCAGGGTCTGGGATTCAAAAAATACGTGATTTTCTTCTGAACCTTCAGTTTGGAAGCATTAAGAAATCCCTCTCAAAGTGTTCAGGGGTGGGTGTGGACCTAGATACATGTCCTTTCAGGATCTGGGAGGGGAAAGTCCAAGAAGAGGCAGAATCAGCCTCTTTCATTACCCTCATGATAGCCACACATCAGGAAGTAGTGATGAAGGCAGGTCAGTCAGTCAGTCAGTTCCAAGGCTTCAGAAGGATCTAGAAAGTTGGACTTTATTCTCAGGTCTCTTGGCTCCTCATAGTTTTAGTTTCTCGGGCTTCCTTAATCCCTTAAGACCATGGGATCATAAATCCAGAGCTAAAATCCCAGGTCCTCATCTGGTCAGGATCACCCTTCACTCCTATTCCCATCAGTCCAATCTTTTCTAGCCTTGACATTGAAGTCCCCAAGGTCTCCTAAGCCTCCCTTCCCATCTTCAGATTTCCTTAGTGTCCCTTTCCTCCATCTTAGCACCTAAGCCCTAGAGATCTTGTGGGAAGTCCTGGCTCACAATCCTTGCTTTTTGCCCTGAGATAGTAACCTGGGTTTTGGCCTTGCAGGAAGTAGGTGCAGACCTGGAGGACGCCAAGTACCAGCACGCAGAGCCCCGGCTATCCATTTATGGCCGTAGTCCTGATGAATGGACCAAGCTCTCAGCCTGGTTTGTCAGCAATGGTATCCACTGTCCCAACATGACATGGATGATTCAGGTTCCCAGGATCTAGTATGTGTCTTCCAAATCACAGCCATGAAAAGCTTCCTTTGCCCCTCCCAATACGCCTACCCACCCTGCCTGCGTAAAGTTGGATTGGGTGTAGAATCAACCCAAATGACCCTTTTCGACCTTATTCCCAGCTAGTCATCACATGCTCCATCTTCTAACTCTTGCCTCATCTCCCAAATCACTGTGCTTTGCCTCAGAGGGTTCATAAGAAAAGGTGGGAGTGTGTAGCCCCGTGAAAAACCCACATCCCTCATACCCCTATCCGTGTTCCCTCACACTGCCCCAATTCTTCCTTGTGTGGTAACAGGTGCATGCTTGCAAGATGAAGCCAGCATGGAAATACCTCTGCTTTCCTGCCTGCATACTGTCCTGTGGTTCTCTGGCTTCCCCTCAGTAGGGCCACTGAGCCCAACCCTCAAATATTTATCACTTCTGAATAATCTTATCTGCAGTGATGTGTTCCGGTCTAAGAATTTCCTTCCACACTTTGGTAAGATGCTGGAAAACATCTTCCTGCCTGTGTTTGAGGCTACTGTCAACCCCCAGGCTCACCCAGACCTCAGCATCTTCCTCAAGCATGTAAGCCTGTCTCCTGATGTCCCCTAAACTGTCTCAGGTCCTGGTGTCCCATCCTTAGGTGGTAAATTCTGGGTATTGTCAGTCGCTGCCTGCTCATTCTCACGGGAGCTAGAGAGAAGCTCCCACCCTGGAGGCTGACAGATTTGCTGTGCTTACACTGAATCCATCTCATAGAAACTTCTCTGTTTGGCCTCTAAAGCCCTTCGCTGTCTACATTTTTTGGGTTTGATGCACAGTGTTTGTTGTCATCTGTCCTGCAGTCCAGCCACGTGGTCTGCGGCCATCCATGTATTTCCCTGCACCTAACATTTCATCTCCCATTTCCACGTCTTTGTCCAGGCTGTCTCCCGTGCCTGGGATTCACTCCCTCCTCAAATCCAGCTGTCCTTGCTCTCTTCGCATTTCATCTCAAGTGCTCATACAAGGCCTTTCTCAATTCTTCCCAGCTCCTTTCCCCACCATTACTTGGCATATGCTTTGTACATGATGCTTCCCCCAAAAGGTGGCGAGCTGTTTGTGGGCAGGGACGGGATTTTTTTTGTTGTTGCTTTTTTGCCTTATATCTCTAGCTCTTGGTTTTTAGTAGGTGCTTAAATACTTAATCACTTGTTATCCATTGGCCCTGACAGATCACTGGCTTTGACAGCGTAGATGATGAGTCCAAACACAGCGGCCACATGTTCTCTTCTAAAAGTCCTAAACCCCAGGACTGGACAATGCCAAAAAACCCATCCTACACGTACTACACCTACTACATGTATGCAAACCTCGTGGTGCTCAACAGTTTGCGAAAGTGAGTGAAGGCAGGATGAGCCTAGGGGGTGGAGGGCCTTTTCACATTTTTGTTTCTGCGTCCTCTGAAGCCACAGACCTGTCTCCTGGTCTGAGGTACCTCCCCGTGGCCAGAATCTGGAGATGTTCTTATGATTTATTTCTTCATTCTCTTTATCTGCTGTAGAACAGGAATCTACATTTTCAAGCCCCGAGAAACTTTCAAGAACCCTATAAACATTTCTTCTTTGGAAGTTTGGGAATAAATTAAAACCCTCTTGAAATTTCCTTCAAAACCTTTCCATGAACATTTGTCTTCTTGAATGCTATATGTGGGTAAAGAGTAGATTGAGAAATGTTATAATGAGGTTTCACCCTCTCTGAAAACTCCTTTTCCCCTCAAAGATTTGAGAAGAGGATGGATGGATTGGGGTAGGGAGAGGAGGGTAGAAGGTACTGTTGAGAAGGAAGGTCCTTCTGGTCTGTTCTTCAAATCTTGAATTCCCTCCTAATCCCCACTTCTTGTAAGAACTTTTTAAAACTTTTTATGAAGAAGCATAAGAATTGTTATGATTTGTGATCATTGGACTTCACTGAAGTCCCCATCCTCATTTTCTCTCTGTATTTTACTGTAAGTTGCACTGTGCCCAGCCCGACTGATAACAAGCATTTGTTGGAATCCTTTAGAATGTATGCTTTATGAAGACAGGGATTGCTTTCTGCCTTTCTTTGCATCCTCAGGGTTTAGCCCAGAGCCTGGCACATAATAGGTGCTTAATAAATGCTTGTTGATTGACTGTGACCAGCCCAGTTTCCAATCAACCAGTCAGTCAATGAGCATTTACTAAACAGCTATCACGGTCCCTCCTCAGCCAGGAATAAAGACAAAAATAAAACGATTTGCAGATCCCTAAGTAGGAATCTTGGCAGCTGGGACAATTTCAGTTGGGGGCAGTGGTTGATGAGGTTGGCCTTCTGTGCTGTTGTTTCAAGAGAGGAGGCAGCCCTTCCCCTCCCTCTCCTTTACCTTCCCTCGCCCAAAACCCTGCTCCTGCTCCCTCCCCTCCCCTCCCCAGGCATGACTTTCTTTGTTCCTCTACTCCTAAAGTTTGAGGCCAGAGACAGGTTCAGGCAAAGGGACAGTTAGTCTCCAGACCACTGCCAGAAAGAAGAGCATCCCAACCCCACCTTGGGGGTCTAGAACAAAACCCCAGCCATGCTGCCTTAAGTGTGTCTCTGACGATGTCCAATCACTGGACCACAATCCAGACAGTCACGCTTTTTTTCTAGGGCCCGAGGGATGAACACATTTCTGTTTCGGCCTCACTGTGGGGAGGCTGGAGCTCTTACACACCTCATGATAGCATTCATGACAGCGGATAATATTTCTCATGGCCTAAACCTGAAAAAGGTGAGTTGAAGGTGCATTTTGGGGGTAACTGCTGAATGTTACGGGGGAATTACAGAAATCAGCTTTTTCTTGCCATGGTGTCCCAAGCACCTACCATTATTGCAGTCTGAAAGAGCTTTCACATGTTATGGCCTAATTTTTCCAACATTCCTGTTGTGGCATGCATTAACATACCTTTTTCTGGGAGTCAGAGCCTTCCTATAGAGAGAAAAAAAATGTATTTGAGCCATCTGCTTGGCTCAGAAAACCTACAAAAGAGAATTATTTCCCAATATCCAGTGTGGTTTGACTTGATACTTCATTAAATGCCCAGAAGGTGGGGGTGGGGCTGGGGGTGGAGGTCTGGGGAGGAATGAGTATCTATTAATTGTGTGTGATGTACCAGATACTATGTTAAGTGTGTTTGCCAAAGTTACTGTATTGTGAAAGGTCTTTCCAGAAAAAGAAAGAGAAATCCGACCTGGTCATTCTACTAAATGTTAAAGGTGAAAGTGGGCCTTAGGTGTTAAACAAAAATCTATGTTTTCTTTTTTTTAATTTTCACCCCAGTTATACTCAGAGGTCTCTTTCATTTTACTTTTTAGAGTGCTGTGCTACAGTATCTGTTTTTCCTAGCCCAGATTCCCATCGCTATGTCTCCACTAAGTAACAACAGCCTTTTTCTAGAGTATGCCAAGAACCCTTTCCTTGACTTCCTCCAGAAAGGATTGATGGTTTCACTCTCCACAGATGATCCCATGCAGTTCCACTTCACCAAGGTAGAGTCCCCATTTCACTTTGTTGTCTGGTCCTAGAATCCACCCTCTAGAGATGGAAGGGAGCTTAGAGGCTATCTTGTCTGACTCCTTCAGTCTACAGATGGGGAAACTAAGGCACAGGGGTGCTACAGAGCTAGTGTTCCTTCTGCTCTGTCACACCCAGAATGTTTTAAAATCTTATTTATAAGAATAACTATTATCAGAAACAAATAAACAAAATAAGGAGTAAGATCCTTAACATTTAATGGTGAAGAACCAGACAAATTAATTGTCAATAAGAAACCAAAAATATGTTTCCATTGTTGTCCCTTTCAAGTCTCTCTGAAATTAATGCCACTGAGCTCTCCTGCCTTTTCTTTCTTTTCTATTCTTCCTTTTTCCTTCCATACATCCTTCCTTCCTTCCTTTTTTCCTTTCCTTTCTTTTTCTCTTTTTTCTCCTTTCTCTTTTTTCTTTTTCTTTCTCTTTATTCCTCCCTCCTTTTTTCTTCCTTTCTTTTTCTCTTGCTTTCATTTTTCTCCTGCTTTTTCTTTTCCCCTTTCTTTCTCCCTCTCTTTTGCCTTTTTCCTTCCTTTCTTTCTCCTCCCTCCCTCCCTTATTTCTTTCCTTTCTTCCTCCCTCCTTCCTTCTTTCCTTCCTTCCTTCCTTCCCTACTTCCCTACTTGTAATCCTTTTATATACAGTTATGATTGTACTGACCCTACTTGGCATCACTTCATGTAGATTTTCCCACATTTCCTTGACTTTTTCATATTTATCACTTTTACATTTTTATGGAGGTAATACAATGTAGTGGGTAGAGTGCTGGGATGGGAGTTAGAAATACCTGGGTTAAAAATAAGTCATATTCAGATAGCACCTTGACATCTACAAAGTACTTTTAATCCTCATGAAGACATTCTAAGGTAAGTGCTGTTATCCCATTTTACGTATGAGAAATCTGAGACTGAGAGAAATGCTGTAACTTGCTCAGAGTCACAATAGTCTTCCTGACTCTTGAGTCCAGAGGCCTGGCTCCAAGCTCTAAGCCATTGGGGTTCAGATCCTGCCTCTGACCATGGGCAAGTCACTTCCTTCAAATGAAATAATAAATTTTTAAAGCACTTTGCAAGCCTTAAAGCACTATATGTTACCTACTATTATAAACTGCTTTGTGCCTCAGGTAAATCCCTGGGACTTATCTAGTCATTCATAGATAGGTTGGTGGAAGAAGTGTTCATACTAAGAGTTCCCTGCATTGGTCTGATTACAAATACTTCTCATATTCATGTATCATTTTTATACTATCACAATATTCATTAACATACCATAATTTATGTAACCATTTTCAATTTGTTTGGCATAGGAGTTGTTTCCAGATTTTTATAACTCTGAGTATTTTTTACATATGTCTTTTTTGGATATTTTTAGTATAATAAATGCTTATTGGATTTAACTGAATTGAAGTCATAGGAACACAAGACCATATATTTAGAGCTTAATGGAACCTCCTGGCAAAGGATATGATCAGTTTTATTAACTCTTATTGCGTCTTGACATATTGTTCTCCCAAATATTTACACCAATCTACAATTCCACCAACAATGTAATAAAGTGCTTATTTCCCTGCAGCCTTACCAATATCGAGTTTTATAATTTTTTTGCTATTTGTGCCATTCGACTCAAACGAAATGCCGTATCAGCGCCACCCAGGACCAACCCAGCCACCTATGAGGAGGCTTATTATTAATAGGTTTTCACTAGCTACACTACTGCCCCACAAAATGTGAAATGCCCTACCAGGAGATATCCAGAAACACGAACAAGAATCACCTAGATTAAGAAAGTACGGCGAGTTGCATTCTGCACAACGAAGGGAATACTCACATTCATCGTGAGGATCACTTTGTCCAATCATAAAAAGCAGTTACTCGTCTATGCCACAAGTTGAAGGTTAAATATAAAAGAATAAGAGCAGGATAGCGACTTGTCCCAGATATATAAGAGTATCCCAGGATGCTTTTATCTGAATCCCATCAAACAAGATAGAATGATTTTTCAATAATAACAACAATAATGAAACACATGGTCCATTACCCTAAGGAAGCTATAGAAATGTTAATACTTCATTGGAAGTTGTGGATGTGCTCAAAACATGGGACAAATGATAGCACCATGAGCAGAGACTCATGTCTAACTTAGGATGTAAGACTCAGAAAATCCACACTTCTTTCTGTCCCTTTATAAGACAAGCAAAATGTCCACCTAACGTGCCCTGTACCTGTCTACAAAATTTTGACATTGACCCTTTTTTTCTTCTTTCTGTGCAGGATAGATGTTTCTTCCTTTTGCTAATCCATACAAATTTTGTTTCGTGTATATAAATGATTTCAGGAGCCCTTGATGGAAGAATATGCCATTGCTGCCCAGGTCTTCAAACTGAGCACCTGCGACATGTGTGAAGTGGCAAGAAATAGTGTCCTGCAGTGTGGGATGTCCCACGTGGTAGGTTTGCTTGTCTTTTAGTAGTCCCCACTTCTACGCACTTGGTTGGTGATTTATGTATGGTGGGAAATTCTGTCTGCTCCACCAAGTATGTGTTAGGTGGCTGATTTGTGCAAGTGGCATGAGGCTGTGGGGATACAAATGTAGATCCTCATCTCAACGAGCTTACAATCTAATAGGGAAGAAGAAACATGGATGTAAAGAGGCAGGTCCAAGCAATGTATATGGAATTTGTAAATAGGGACAGACTTGGGGATTAGGTACCTTTTAAGACAGGGAGCAACTTTCATCACCAACATCATCGACATTTCTCTCACTTTAGGGTGTGCAAAGCCCATAATATGTATTATCTCATTTGAGTCTTACCTACCTTGGGAAGTATTACAAGTAGGATTATTTCCATTTTGCAGTTAAGGAAACCAGGGAATGGAGGAGTTAAGTGACTTGTCCAGGGTCACACAAGTAGGAAGTGTTAAAGGCAGGATTCAAAACCAGGTATTTCCTAGCTTTAGGTCCAGCACATTTCCCATAGTGCCTTTCTGCCTCCTCCATTATATTCAAGGATGTACTAGACCCAGCTTGAATCTGTGAGTCCTGATTGTTAAACTTTCAGTATGAGTATTTATATCTCAAAAATCAGAAACACTACAAATCAGGGTTTGAGTTATTGTTTTGTTGATTGTCTAGACTTAAGAAAATGATAGAGAAAATGTTAATAATGGAGATGAAACTTTAAAATGTGTCATACATACTTCCCCCCCCCCCGAAAGCTGGTTGTTAAACATTTACCAGCACTGGAAAAGCATTTACCACTCCTGAATAGATTCCACATATGGAGAGAGTAGGGTGACCATTCCAAACATGGGGCAATGGCACGGGTGAGGGCATGGAAGTAGAAGAAGGCAGGACAAGAACAAGTAACAGAGATAGACTAGTTTGTCCGAATCATAGAATATGTGAAGGGAATTGACAAGATATAGCAGGAAAGGCTTATTGGAGCCTGATTGTGGAAGATCCTGAATGCCAGAATCAGGAGTTCATACTTTGCTTTGGTAGGCAAAGTAGAGAGGGGTGTCACAGGAGACTTTGAGTATAGGAATGATAGGATCAGAGCAATCCATTAGGAAGATGACTGAAGCAGCAATAGGGTGGATAGACTGCATAGGAGATAGATGGAGGCAGGAGAACCAGTTAGGAGGTTAGCGTAATGATCTAGGTGAGAAAAGACAAAGGCCTGAAATGCAGGGGTGGCAACAATTCCAAGAAGGAAGGAATAGATATTACTGAGCTGGAATCAACAAAACTTGGCAACTGATTGGATGCATAGGGTGAAGAAGATGGTAGAGTCAAAGGTGAGGTCACAAGTGTGGGTGACTTGTTGATACCACCAGGAAGCCACCTGGTGGTATCAACAATAGAAATAAGAAAGTTGAGAGAAATGCAAGTTTTGAAGGGAGGATGAGTCCACATTAGAATATTTTAGGGGGCAGACTTAACTACCCAAGATTCATTTAAGTTGTAGACAAAAATCTGACCTTTCACCAACAATGAAATAATAATAACTGACATTTACATAGCATTTTAAAGTTGGCAAAGTTACTTACACACATGATCTCAATTAAGCCTCACAACCACCCTTACTATGGGCATTATTATTATTATATCCATTACAGATGAGGAAACTGAGGCACAGAGAGGTTAAGTGACTTGCCTGTGGTCCCACAGTCAGTAAGAGTCAGAGGCAAGGATTTGAACCCTGATCATCCAAATGCCCATTCCAGAATGCTATCCCCTGTGCTGCAGTGACTCCCAAACACCACTGTTCATGCCACATTGGTATACATTCCACACGTGGAACGTTCTCCTTACCACTGTGGCCATGCAGAAGTCCTATAGCAAGCCCTGTGACATTTTGTCCTCATTCACTTTTACTTATTGGCTCATTCCTGAACATAAAAATCTATGGAGCTCAGGCTCAAGCTCAGCCCCTACCCAATCCACACTGATTCTTTCACTGAAGCTGCTTCCCTAACTCATCACCTTGTGCTCACACTTAGCTCTTACATACAACTGGAATAAACATAATCACAACTATTGCCTTTCCTACCAACAAGCCATGTGAAGTCAGAATACCTAGGCTGACTTCCAGCACAAGCAAACCACATATGCCAACAATCTGGACTACTTCCTAAAGCCTTGAGAAGAAGTCGGGATGTGTGTGTGTGGGCGGGGCATACTAGGAACCCGGTGGGGTAGATGAAATCATGAAGGGAGAGAGAGGAAAAGAGAACCAAAGTCAGAACAGGGGACATTTGTGTCTAAGGAATGAGAAGACAGTGAGGTAGCAAAGAAGGAACCTTCAGAGAGGAAGGAGGAAAAGCAGAAGGATATAGTGTCATGGAAGTCATGGAAAGAGAAGCTTTCAAGGAGGGGTTAATCCACTTATATGGTACTTTAAGATTTGCAAAGTATTACTTTACATGTGTTATCTCATTTTATCCCCACCGAAAGCCCTATGAGGAAGGTGGTATTCTTATCCCCATTTTACAGATGAGGAAGCTGAGGCTGAGAGAGGGTAAAGGAATTACCCAAGGTCACATAGGCAGGGGTCTTTCTGACTCCAAGTTCAACAGTCTAGCCACAGCCCTACCTAGTTTCATCTGTAGTATCAAATGCTTAAGGTTGTTAAGGTTGAGGAAAATTCCTAGTCTTTAGAGAGAAGGAAGCCATTAGTGACCTTGGAGAGAGCGTCTTTCACTGGAATGGCGGGATAGAAACCAGACCACAAGGAGCTGGGGCATGACTGGTGGGTAGTGCAGATGAAGAGCAGACACTAACTACTCTTTCTAGCAGTTTGGTAGTGATGACGAGGGAAGAGGTAAGATGAAGGCCTGAGAGACAGTAGAAGAAGGTGTTTTGGGGATGGCTATGGGAGACCTAAGCATGTTTATTGGAGAGGAAAAGGAGCGAGTGATTGAAGACACTCAAGAGGGAAGGTCATGGAAAAAGGTGAAGGTGGGTTCTAGGTTACAGGTGGAAGGAAGGACCAAAGACTCCATGAGGATTTTAAGAAGGTTAGAGTAATGGAGGTGGAGAGTTCAGGGAGTTTAAATCAGATGATCTTAACTTCAATAAAGTCATAGATAAAGTTACCTACTAAGTGAGGGAGAAGGATCACAGGTTTAGAGGAAATTTAGAGATCGTCTAGTCTCACCCTCTCATTCTAAAGATTAGAAAAGTCAATTTTAGAGAGGTGAAATGCCCTGTCTCATGTTACAACAGAATTGGGATTTGAACTCAGGTCCCTAGGCTCAACACCCAATGTTCTTCAACCATATCATATATGGAGTTGGGACCTTGAGAAAAGAAGGTAGGGACCAGCTGTTGTATTTGTATCCCAGGCATCTCTGACACATAGTAAGTACTTGATAAACTTGTTGGTGGATTGCAGGAATTTTGTGGCATGTATTAATAAGAGATGCATAAAAGAACTGTCCTGTAGTACTTAGATCCAGCTGAAGTTAAATCAAATGCATTTGTATTGAACTCAGGCAGTCAGCATGGTTTCTTGATTTTCTCCATCGAGATCTGTCCACTAAGGAATAGGGACAAAAGAAGCAGCCGACAGGATTTATTCACAATTTAAGGTCAGCAGAGTGAGATCAACAGAAATTTTAAGGGAAGTTCAAAAGTGGAGGTTGGGCTCATGATTCAAATGCCTGACCACAGGATCAAGACTGAGTTAGGAAATGAATTGAGGCCAGAGCAGGGTTAATAGATTGAGAAAATGAGAAGGAAGAAAAATCTTGAAGGTCACAATAAAAGACATATAACAGAAAAATGGAAGGAGGAAAGGAGTGGGAGAGGTGGAAGGACAGAATAGGGTCAGAGAAGGAAACCTCAGAGTTCAGAATCTGGAAGGTTTGAGTGATGGCGAGGTGTCACCTGTGACCTTGGCACGATGGAGATGGAGGTCATAGTTGTTGCAGAGTTCACGAAGCTCTGAGGACAGGGTGGTAAGTCATTAAGGAGGATACTGAAGTCTCCCAAGGAAGATGACATAAGTGGGTTGATAGAGCACAAGTGAAGAAATGGCCCAGTATATCCTGTAGAACCACTGCACACGGGAGGGGAAGCTTTTTGTTTTTGTCTGTCTGGACATGCCTTTTGGCCAAGAGTTCGACTGCTCATCAGACACTACTCATTGAAACACTGGATGAATCCTTTTAAAGGTTTATTTTTTCCTGTTGCCAGGGGATAGCATAAGGAAGGGATTTTGTAGAGGAAGTAATTATTATACAGTAATATCGAGGGGCTAATAAACAATGATTATTCTGCTTCCTTTTGTCTTTTAGGAGAAAGTGAAATTTCTCGGAGACAATTACCTTGAGGAAGGCCCTCTTGGAAACGACATCCGGAAGACCAATGTGGCTCAGATCCGAATGGCCTATCGCTTTGAAACCTGGTGTTATGAACTCAACCTAATTGCAGAGGGTCTAAAGGCAACAGATTAAAATAAACATGGCAACTCTTCTGTTTGGATCGTCATCTCTCCTATAGAACCTCGTGGGTTTCGTGTGGTAGTCACCTACTCCTTCCCTGGAAAAATAAGAAACAAGACTTCAAAAGTAATTTATAATTGGGAGGATAAGTTCCTTCTTAATTTTGTTTTCTGTTCATTGACAAGGAAACACACTCAAGGATACTCCACCCACCCCAGAATCATAGTGAAAAGTCATCTTTTTGACAGCTTGTCTCTGAGACAGGTTTTACAGTGCAATGTGGGTGTGCCTCTACTTTAAGAAAATCCAGTGAGCAAAAATCTGAACTTACAAAAGAAATATTTATAATTATTATAAAAATAATTAGGGAATCCATTTATTTCCCAAAAGGTAGAACTTTATTCTTTTAAAAAAATTCACCACAGGCTTTCTTTCAGCAGTGACACCCCCCCAAATTACTTAGTTGACAAAATTACATGTAACTTTCAGAGACTAAGTCAGGGATGGGGAACCTGCTGCCTTGAGGCCACATGGGGCCCTCTAGATCCTCGAGTGTGGCCCTTTGACTGAGTCCAAACTGGATTTTCACTTGAGACTCTTACGCACTTGAGGACCTACAGGGCTACATGTGGCCTCGAGGCAGCAGGTTTCTGACCCCTGTTGACTAAGTGAAGCACTTTTATTTTCCATTTTCATAGCTACCTTTCCACACATACAAGTGTGTTGCCATCTACTGGTCAGATGGATATTTTTGTGTAACTACAATTGATGGAAAAACCAGATTAAACCCAAGATTAGCAGAGGCTAAAATATTGTTTTTTTCTTTTCTAAGCAGTTTTTTATTTGTTTGTTTTACTTCTGCAATCCTGTGACTCTATGACCCTGGAAAAACTACTAATTGATCTTAAATTCTTTTGACATTGCTACAAACATCCTTCCAATCTTTGCTAGTTTCTATTAAAAAGAGGTTTGGATAGTGTACGATCCTATCGTCCTAACTGTATTCTGTCTGTCTGTTTGTTTGTTTGTTTCTTTTCCCTTCTTTCTTTTCTTTTCTTCCGAGCCTGGGTCCTCCCTATCTCACCCTAGTTGGGCGTACAATGGCCTCTCACGGATTGGAATGCACCCTTAAAAAGCCCAGGAATTTTGACCTGCTGCATTTCCCAATGGGGCTAGTTTGCCTCAACTTAGGCAGCCTGGTGGTCACCACACTGATGTGGGACTTGGTGTAGACACCTGATTGGCTTGAGCCCGCTGCATCTTGGAACGCTCTAGTGCCATCCATCTACCAACCTCAGCCTCCATGACAGGAGGGATGAGACAAGCATGCAGCACCACACCCAGCTACTCACCCCCCCTTCACATTATTTCATATCCATACTCCCATGTATTAGCATAGCCCACATACTTGTGTTTTTCATAGCTATGTAGTTCTTCATTTTGTTAATATACCCATCTGACTATTTGGTTAGATTCCATTTTAAATAATTCAGGTATAAACATTTTGTACAAATGACAACCTGCTGCCCTTTTTGGAATAACTTACTTTGGGTATAGTCGCCAAAGAGAAGTAGTGTGGTGTGCAAGGCGCTGGCCTTAGACTCAGGAAGACCTACGTTCAGATCTTGCCTCTGATATGTAATGGCTATATTTCCATGGACAAGTCACTTCTTACTGTCAAATGTAAGTTAAAGATGAAATGAAAGTTTGCATAGGAGGGTTCACATTGGGATATCCTCATACCCATGAAAATCACAAATCCAGATGACCTGCCCCTACACACACACACACACACACACACACACACACACACACACAATTGTGCCCCATGCAGGCTGGCATAGAGCATGGGGTACTGGATCTGCATTCAAAGCCTTCTTCTGACATTAAAATATCTGTGTGATTCTTGATAAATTGCTTCCCCTTATTATGCCTCATAAAATGCCCTAGAACTTAGTTCCTAAGTCATACTGGTCTAAAATCTGCCTTGGTGGAGGGAATTCCTATATTGACAGCACCATAAACTTCCCTAAAGTGGTATTCTTATGTCAAAGGGGCATGTAAACAGATTCGTAAAAATTAACTGCATATTAGTAAATTACTAGAGACTGAACCAGTTTTCAGTGTCAGGTGTAAATAAATCTGTTTCTCCATAGCCATCTTCATTTACTTTGAGTTTAACATGTATAAAGCAAGACCTTGAAGTTGTTTCAACTTGCCTTTCTTTCACCATTAAGGGATCATGCGTTTTTTACCAGGTGATGTCTGTATTTATTTCCTAATGAATAAGCTGATCTCCTTTGACTTACGGAATGCAGTTCCAGCAATATCTTTTTTCTAATTTAAATTTTATACTTTCCATGCATTTCATTTGGCCATCTAAGTGGCACAGTGGTTAGAGTGCAGGGCCTGGAGTCAGGAAAATTCACCATTCTGAGTTTAAGTCCAGCCTCAGACACTTACTAGCTTGGTGACCCTGGGCAAGACACTTCACCCTGTTTGCCTCAGTTTCCTCATCTGTAAAATGAACTGGAGAAGGAAATGGCAAACTCCTGCAGTATCTTTGTTAAGAAAACCCCAAATAGGGTCACAAAGAGTCAGACAGGACTGAACGACAAAAGACATTTTATTGCAATCTTTCATTTTCATGTCACTTATGTTTTCTACTACAACTCCCACAGCCATCCCTTCTAACAAAAAACTTAAAAGAGTGTGGGGGGGGAATGTTTCACAAGTCAATATGCATTTTATTAAGTGCTGCTAGATACTAAGTACCTTGCTAAATGCTAAAGACCAAATAAAGGCAAAACCAGTCATTGTCCTCAAGTAACTCACCGTATATTGGGGAGAGCAACTAACACACATTGAAAAAGCTGGCATTACATGCAATTTTATCTACACCTGTAATATCTTACCTCCTCAAAGAAGGGGACAGATTCCTTTACATATCTTTTCTTTGGAACCAAATTTGGTCATTAGAATGTCCCAGCATTCAATTTTGATTGTTTTGGCTAAGAGTACCTTAAGTTTAAAAAAAAATCCATTTTTACATGTTTTGAGCAGTAAACTTTTAGTATTTGTTTATCACATCTGTTTGCCTGATTCCACTATTTTCCTGATGTTTAATTTATTACATTTTATTGTAGAAATCCCCTGGCCATTTCTATAATGTAAGACACAGCTTTCTTGCCTCTTATATTATACATTCACTAACTCAAAAATGAGAACTCCATCTCAAGATGTAGACAAATTTCTGATAGAAAATAACGAAAAAATTCTTGCCTCTTTCTCCAGACTTTGCAGAAACCCTCAAGCATAGGTGTGACTTTTCACCTTGTTTTTAGAAGGCCCTGCTGATAGTATCCTCCATGCAGCTTCTAACATCTTGGTGACCTGTAGGGCCACCTCTGCCATTCCCCCTTAGAAAAGGTGATTTCTTCATCCTGAAGACATTTCTATCAAAGCTTCTAAATACTTGTCACAAATGAAATGTTCCTTTTTACCCAAGAGAGGGCAGTAGAGGACACAGACCAACACCTTTGCCTCCACAGAGACCCCATCCTATGTTGGGCTTCTTAGGATCATGGAATTTGAAGCTGGAGAGGACTTGAGTGCTCATCTCATTTTTACAGAGGAAGAAACTGAGGTACTGAGAGATTAATTTCCATAAGGTATCTGACATTCAATCTCCTCTTTGCCAAATACACTCCCTGAATGCAAGGTTCATGGGAGGAGATTCCAAAGCAAACTGCGCTGGCGCAAAACTTTTCCTCTAGATAACTAGAAGAAAACTCCAAAAGCATCTTCTCCAGGATTTTGTTTCATTCCCTAAAGATCAGCTTTCACTTCTTAAAGGAAACTTGCCACTGTGGCGCAGCTTTTCACGAAGAAGAAACAAATGATTTTCATTAAACTGTGGCTGGACTTGATAAATGGGCCAAATTTATTTTTAGAAATATCGCTCCTGGTCTTCACAACAACTCCCTACCCCCTGCTGTTCTTGCTTTACTCGGCTGTTTTGTGACAGCCATCTGTTAATTGTAAACCAAACACCTTTCCTTCTGGCCTTCCTCTGTTTGGGGGCCTCTGTGTGAACAGATGTGAGTAACCTAGAAGAGGGTTGGGGGCCAGCCCCGCGTCCCCGGGAGCCTCCGGAGAGATTTCTTGGGAAGCATGCTAAACTCATCCTTGGCCCTAATCCTGTAGTGAAACTGGGCTATTGCCGGCTCCGGGCACGGTGCCACGCAGCATACCCAAGTGTGACTCTCTCCTAACTGCAGGCAGAGTCATTATGGATGTGTGTCACCCTGCTGGGCGGGGGCTACACAATCCAGGTGCTGGGAGGATCAAAGGCTCCGTCCAGACTCCCTCTCTCAGGGATTCCAAGCCTAAGGTGCTACTTTGCATCTCCCTGATTTTTCAGGTTGGCAGAAGACTCCATGCTTACTCCCTGAAGTGCAACAGAGGAAAATTATAACTCAATGCAACAAACATTTTATAACTCCGCGTTTATATAGGTTTCGAGTTTCATGAAGCACTTTTCTTAATTTTGTGAAGTAGCTATCACATGAGATAATTATTGTAGAGCGCTTAGCAAGGTGCCTGGCATATGGTAAGCGCTATATAAATGTTAGCTTTTATCAATATTATTATTAACAGGTGAGTTAATGTTTGTAAAACGCTTTGTAAACTTTAAAGCGCCACTGGGCAAAGGGTCACTACTGCGCCCTTTGAACCATAAAATGTCCAGTTGCTGGGGTTCCTTGTCTAGGATGAGGCGCTGGGCGAAGAGGCCCCACGGCTGCCGGGCCCGGGGTCCGGGGCTCGAGAGCAGGAAAGCGGTTGGGGCCCAGGGTACGCACCGGGACCGGAGCCTCCAGCCCGCCCGCCTGCGGTCCTTTCCGGACTCTGGGTCCACGAGAGGCGGGAGCAGAGCCGAGGGGCGGGGGCAGGAGCCATCCAGCTGGGGCGGGACAGGGCGGGACCTGGAGCCCGGCCGGCCGGGGCAGAACAGGCGGGGG